GGCATTTGGGCTTGAGTGTTGTTTCGTTTGGTTTGAGATTGCCATTGGACATCGCAGTTGCCGGGTTGACAGCCCTCTTTTAATGATGGCTTATGCTTTTGCTTATATGTACAAATCGATTATATCAAGAACTGCTCCATCAACCAAACCAACAACTTCTTCCAACTTGTGGCTACTGCTACTGCTGCGATTGTTGCTGCCAGTGCAGGTGATAATTTTCGCTCATACACTATTCAAGTCCCATTCTCTTATCAGAAACCTGAATAGATAGTGTTTAGTCGTTCTTACTATAAATACCTTTGTTAGCGCAACCTAGGTCTTCTCTGATCAGCCTTTGTAGGTCCTCATTCAAGTGGTAGTGCTGTCAATTTGGTAATGTTTACACTGCTGATCTATTATCCGCTTTTTGCAAAGAAGATGTGAAGCAAGTCATGAATCTTTTTTTACTGACATTTTTCTGTCAATTTATCCAATATGAACCACATTTCTTTCTAGCTTAGTTTCTTTGGATTTTTACCGTTAATTGCATTAATAATGCTGGCGATGCTGTTCAACATTCAAATACTTTTATTCAACTGATTCTAACTGTAGATAATGATCTTCATTTTCATCTGCCATTTTTCACCATTGTTCACCTACTGGTGCAGTTTGGAAACTTTTTTGTATCAACTGCTACGAATCTTCTTGTTCTCGGTGTTCTTTATTCTTATTATTACTGGAAAATTCGTTCATCTGCTGACTACAGCTGTCTCAGTTCTAACCAGCCTTGTCGGGGGTTTAGATTTGTCAGTGTAATGCCAGTTTTTACAATAAATGAAGCTGAAAAAATTGATTTTGATGTGAAGGGGTCTAAAAATAGCTAGCTCTGGTAATTAATTTGAAATGTGTCGATATTGAACAATAAAAATAAGGAATTAACAGAATCATATGTGCTTAATCTATCACCTGGCAAATGTACCGCATAAAAAAAAAAAATTAGCTAGCCAAAGTTAAATTGCATTGGTTGATGTCCAGAGAACGTCACAGTTATTATACGCATATATGCCATGTTTTGTTGTAATGAAATTTTTCTGGAAAATTTTTTGGACTATCAGAATTTTGCATCATTTACAACTCCAGGTTTTTCCACTGATTTCTGTTTTCCTGTGCACACCGAATTGGTGTTGTTTTCTGTCATTTTTTTATTTAAATTTTTTAGCTTATTTGAGAATGTACGTGAGTTTTTTTTCTTGTTTAGGAGTGTTTTCAAACTTTTTTTGAGGAGGGGAAGGAAGTGAAAGGGAGTAACAAAAGGGCGAAAGTTTTAGTGTAAATAATAAATACATAAATGGAAAATTATTGTCAGTTACATTATTTCTTAGTCTTTGTTGCCGCTTTGGCACTTGAATAAATCGCCTCTAAGTTCAAGCGATAGAAGTTGGTAGCTAGGAAGGAGAAGGTTAGTGAATCATGATTTTGAAGCTGTTGATCCCAGAAATCATCGACGACAGTGCTTCATTTGCAATTCTTCGGTAACGGAGGTTGTTTGACGATCAGATCCCCCCAAATTGATTTCCTAGAATTACTAAAAAGCAATTAATTTTTGTTTAGTTACATAGGTGTTTCTTTTTAAAATTGTTTTTCGCTACTTTGTTATAGCCTTGGTGGCATTTTGCAAAAGATCAAAAAATTCAGTAATTATTTTGAAGAGTTGTAAATGCTGGAGTAGTGCTTTTGTTCAATTCAATTGATTTTTCCCACTATTGCTTTCACAAAATACGAAAACGCAACATTTTTTTTCACTTATTTCTACTTTGATAATATTTTCTGTTCGCTTCTGTCGTTCGTTAGAAGTTAACCGTCATAAAAGTTACCGCTTCGTATTTTAGCATGAATAGGTAAACTGGGGATGGATGTAAAGAAGAATTACAGTTGGAAATGAAAGGTGATTCAGTGATGATGAGTCACGTGTTTTTAACAACAGAAATGGAAACAAATGATGTACGACAGTACAACTTCTGACAATTAGATGCTGGAAATAGACATTGCATTCAGTTACCTTTTAGTTAAATAACGTATTTTAAGATTTCTAGAAGTGTAAGGTAATATTAATGGACAACTGTTCAGTAGTTTCTGTCTTGTAGGTGGCGAATGTTACCTGAAGAAGGTTTGATATGTGGCATTTGAAGGAGTTAAAAATCGGACTTGTTGAGTAGAAGTATTTTGGTTTTGTTCATTTTTACAACTGTCTGCTCGTCTATTCTAGAAAAATAAGATAGTGAGAAAGTGGTTCCGGGTGTTTATCAGTGTGGCATCAAATTCCTGTGTTTATGTTTTTGGTAG